GCATCCTGGCTGCATGCAGAACTCTCTGCCTCCTGGCATGATGCTTCAGCCTGCTGGCACAGACTTTCTAGGTTTCACCACTTAACCGTGGGGCCTTCCCAGCATAGATCCGTGAAACAGACTTGCATGAGTTACTGTTGTAGGTAGTAGGCCACCACCTGGACTCATGGGAGGCATTTTCATGAGCTTCAGGTCTTCATCTAGACTCATGCAAGACATTGTTATGGGATGCAGGCCCTCAGGGATTCCTGGGTTCTTAGTGTGTGGGCAAATTTCCTTTACTCTTTCTTTTGTATTTAACTCTTTGACCATTATATAAAACAATACTGTGAATTGTGTGTCCTATATTGTCTTATTCTCCTTGCAAATCCTGACTATAACAGCGGAAGCCTTTCTTTTTTTTTTTTTTTTTTTTTTTTTTTTTTTTTTTTTTTGTACCAGAGATCAAACTCATGACCATGCACATTTGCAAGGCACGCATTCCGCCTCTGAGCTGCGGAACATCCCCAGCAACAACAGCCTTTTCAATGAATGGTGCTGGACAAATGGACAGCAATATCTAAAACCATTAATTTAGACACAAACTTCATACCTTATATAAAAACTAACAACAGATAGTAAACCTCAATATAAAGTAAAAATTATGAAAGCCAACAAAATAAATACGAAAAAATATAGATGATCTTTTGTTAGAATAATACTTTTTAAATTTGGTATCAAACAAGTAATTCATAAAATAAATAATTGATAAGATGGACTTCATTAAAGTTAAAAACTAATGAAAGACATAGCAAAAGAAACTGGAACCCAAATGAAAATAAAATATTTATAGAACACATCTCATACAATCGATCATATGCTTCAGCAATGATGGTCACTGATACCCAAATGAGTTTAAATGTGGCGCATCCAAACAGTACAGCTATAGCTCTAAAAAGAAATGAGCTTTGATAGACCTGAAAAATGACAGAATAAACTTAAATGCATACTAGTAAGTGAAAAATGGGAATCTGAAAAAGCTGACTCTACCTGATACCAACTAGCTGTTATTGCAAAGAAGGTGAAATTATGGAGACAATAAATAAGATTCAGTGGCTGCTAGTGAGAAGAATGTATAGAGAACACAAAAGATTTTTAGGACAATGGAACTATGCTGTGCTCCCATACATTGGGCAGAGTCCACAGAATCAAGAATTGATCAAAAATCAAGAACACAACCTCATGAAAACTATGGATAATAATGACATAGCAGATAGGTTCCTTATAGCAATGTTATTACTCAGGCTGATAGTTAGGGAAGTTATGTGTATACAGGGGCACAGGGCACATAGGAATTCATTGACACTTTCATTTAATTTTGTTGTTAGCAATAAACTATATTATAATGAAAAAGACATTTTGAGGAATAAGAGTAAATATTTGCAAAAACCATGTATACGACAAAGGCCAAATATCCAGAATAATAAAGATAGCCTACAACTCAACAACAGAAGTTAAGTAATTCCATAAAAATGGACACAAGACTTTAATAGATATTTCCCAATGAAGATACAAAACTGCAAAAAGCACAAGAAAAATAGTCAATATGATTAGTCATTAGGGAAATGCGAATTAAAACTACAATGAAATTCCACTTATATGCAATAGAAAGAGTACAATAGAAGCAATTTAAAAAGAAAGTAACAAGTGACAAATCTCCTTCAAGAATTTGCTTAAATTCTTCTCAAACAGAAACATACTTGCCATGATACTTGCAAACACACATAAACACATATGCATAGACATACATGTATTTCTGTGTGGTTGGGTATTTAGAAAATATATTTTCTTTTTCACCCAAGAATATTGTGTATATTCATGAGAAAAATGTTTTATTTGTTGATATAAACTAGGTTGATATAAACTCAAACATTGCCTGGAACATGATAAGTACTCAATAAATAAGCATTAAATAATTTTATATTTTTTATCTTCTCTGTGTCTGTTGATTTTTGACCTAGTTTTGAAATTCTTATCAACCTTTGAAAATTCTCTCTTAAAATTGGGTTCTTTTAATGATTTTGTGCCTGCCACAGCTAATTAGTTAATGGTTTTAAGCCTATAAATTTTTCTCCAAATATAGCTTTATGAGGTATCACAGCTTAAATTATGAGATGTTTTGTTATTCTTTGGTTCACAACATTTTCTAAATTTATTGTGATTTGGGAAAGAAATTAAAAGTTGGTAAAAGTGCTTTTCAAATCCTACCAATAGGGAGTTTTTAGTTGTAACTTCACAATTAATTTTCAGCCTAATTAGAAAAATATACCTTGTGTGTAACTTTAATCTATCGAGAGTTTTAAAATCTGCTTAATCTTAAAATTATAACCTTTTTTCTTCTTACATAATTTTTTGTGTTCTTAAAAATAGTATGTATCTATAGCTGGTAAATATAGTTACATATACCCATGTATTACTCAAATATCCCGCACCCCTATTAATCATAGTGCAGAACACATTATTTTGAGAATGTTCTAGATACCCCAAATTGCAAATACAATTAATTTGGTATTGAAAATGTACAAGGAACCAGATAATTTGGTTGTATTCCAAAGCATTCAATGGAAGTTATAATCAAATAAAATTTTATAATTCTTATATATGCAAATTTCCTTTACTATCTCTTATATTTCAGAAATGTTATTTAAATTACAAAGCAACAAGAAAAACTTTCATTTATTCTGATGGATTTGACTTTGGAGTCTATAGAAAATAAAGACAAGTACTTTTGTATTATAATTGACTATTACTTTTCCATTAAGATGTGCTCTATGCCTTTTTAGAGAGTTGATTTTTGAAATTCTTTCTGTTATTTCTAGAAGGTACATTTCAACCTTAAGCGTATTTCAAAAGTTTTCTCTAATTGTTTTAGGTGTTCTTCTACTTAGGATTTAAAAAATAAGAAGGTTTTAAACTCAAATATTTGGTTAGTTGCCAGCTAAACTTCTGAAATCTGTTGCTATGGTGATTCTTTTTTCTTACTATTCTTCTGGGTCTAATTAGAACATCAAAGTTTATAGTACATGCAGGGTAATAACACCATTCATAATTCCTGTAGCACATTCTAGTCTCTCTATAATTAAAACATAACATTTAAGACCAGTATACTGGGAATACAGTTGACATTTTAAATGAATATAAAAAATAAGCAATGATATGTAAAAAAAAAAGTCATTCTTTATGTAGAGATTCAGGGTAAAATTACAGGTTACTGTTAAATTTGTTCAATTTTTTAACTTGTTATAGAGAATTAACGAAGGTTTTCTTCTCCTACATATTACATGGAAATCATCCAACTTTCTTGCTCTAGTGTTGCTGAGTAGACTCACTAAAACCTTTTTGAAAGTTATTTAATAAACAGCAGCTCAACAAAAAGCATGTTCTGATAAAAGTCACCCTTCAAAGGCTCCTGGTTAATTCTGTCTTCATAGTTCACGTAAACAATTTCTCCAACAGAAAGTGTTCAATTCATTTTTGACACCCATTTTTGAACACCAAAATACATTTCAAACCCAGAAATTCTTTAAAATATTCACAATTTTAGAATCTGAATTAAATCCACTTATAAATTAGCCATAAATAAATGGATATTTTATGTATCAAAACATTAAACTATATATCTAATATATATTTGGAAATATAACCAAACATTCAAAAGTATAGTATATCTGCTATGTTTAACAGACATTCTAATAAATTTGTGTGATATAAAATGAAAATGACAATAAAGAAATCATATCTTCATTTTATGTAACAATTAACAAAATTTAGCTGAAAATATTCAAATATAACATATAAATAAAATATTCAAGGTAGGCCAATTATTTTTCTTTAGTTTATACATGATAAAAATGTATATTACAAGAAGTAGCATCCACATCTCAAGGAACAAATACCTGTCAGAACTTATATATTTATTACTTTTATTTAAAGATCATGTGTTTTATAGAAGTAATGTGGTAGGTTGGCCAGATCAATGGATCATAAATGAAAAGAATTGACTAGTGAGATCAAGTTTGTTAGGATACAATTGGATAAATATCCCCAAAATCTTATTCTCTCATGTTGGTAGCTTCATCCATTAAAACCCTAATAGTATTTTCCCCGAATATCTATGATGGCTTTGTGAATATCAAGAAATTAGTAAATGAAAAGGGTCTAAAAGTTTTAAGTTTTATTAAAATATGACTTCTTATTATACTGAAGTTATCTTTGATATTCCAGGTTTGGTTTCTAAAAGCAAGTAATACAGAACTGAATCTTCCCATTCATAAATTATTATTAATGGTGGAATAACTTGTCAATTTTCTTTTTGACAATGGATATTAATCTCATTTATGTTCAAATGATATAGAAATTGGATTGTGTTACAAAATTTTACAAGTTTCCATGAATGAACACATATAGCCCATTTAGCTAAGGATATTTTAATAGTTCTTGTTTATTACCTGATTTCCTAAAATCATTTTACATGGATGATCAGTATCTGCCCTGGGAGATAACTGTGCCCATTTTAAATATTATAAGAGTATCGTTTTTATTAATTTGTGACATCTGATAATTTATATCAAAAAACAAACAAAACAAAAACTCTGAAAAATCTCAAAGTGTAGAAGTTCACCAGCCCTGCATGAACTGACTAATAGATCTTGCTCTTTTTTAGCAAACTTCATTTATGTGGTACATGTATGTCTACATTATGGTTTTCTTTAAAGATTCTAGTTTTCCAATTTAACTCCAATCATTTCATGTATATACAAGAGAGCCAGAATGGTTTTAAATAAATTTTAGTACTCAATTAAATACTGAAAGGGAGAAATTAATGAATTTAAACAGTTAAATCACCTTAGCTGAATCTGCTACTGTCCTGTGCTAAAACTATGTTTGTAAACACTGAACACATCATCTGTTTGAATTGCAGAAGTAAAGGCAGCCAAAGGACATGGAATACTTTCACTTACTGCAAATGAAATCAGTCTCATCGGAGTTATCTGCACAGTCATTCACAAAATCACACAGCTGGTCCTCTGGAATGCAGTGCTTATTAGCACAGGAGAATTCTTGAGCAGTGCACTTTCTGTCTGGGCGAGGCAAAGGGGAGCAGCCTTGAAAGGAAACGTCATCCACTGCCACGTCGCCTATGTAACTGATGCCACGTTTCACCCTCAACACAACCTAAAAACAAAAGCATACAAAACAACAGCAAAGGAAAAATCCAGTTAGAGTAGGAGATGTCAATTAAGAAATTCAATCAGGAACAAGGGGCAAATTCGACATTCAAATACATCGTTTACTTTGATTTAGAAAAAAGACTCCACAGTGAAAATGACCTAAGAAAAGTGAGGTTTATCAAAGATCTGTACTTCCTCAACAGCGGAATGTTAGAGAAGCACCTCTATGCCTCTTATCCAGCAGGGTGAGATAGGCAGCCTTGAAAACTGGTAGGAGTCGCCAACTCACTACTGCTGCCTCTGCCAGCTCTCACATCTCAAACAAGACCTGCCTTTTCTCAGAGCCTCATCATCCATGGAAGCAGGGAGTCCATAAGTGGACTTGGAGTACCGAGAGAGAGAGAAGGTACGAGCACATACATTACCCTGATCTATTCTCTCCATTACTCAGGTGTAATAACTCCCCAATAACTGAAAGTTAAGTCATCAGACCTCAATACCATGAATTTGTTTGTTTACTGATTGTTGTTGCTGAATTGGCCACATTCAATTATCACATTCAATTATAGAATTGAAATGATTTTCATTTGCCTTGTATTAATACATGACATGAACAGAAGCCTCAGGTACTCTTGTTTGACAATGGTTCCCAGCTTACATAGACTTCAGTAGATCAGAGGTGATAAAAAATAACAAGAGACACTAAACTTTCAAAGGTTTATAACAGTATCATTGCTTGGAATTACAATGAACATTGTTTCATAGAACATAAAATGTCAGGTGTTGTTCCTTGCTGGATTTTGATGCAGTGTTTCTATCGAATTTCACTAAAAGGCAAATACCTACATGTTAACTTTGAAAGAATTTTTGGAGCGGTTAGAAGAAAGAATATAAAATAAAGTGGCCTTTATTTTAAGAATGTAGAGAGAGACTCCATGACCTCCGGGGTCTGGCTTTCTCTTTGCCTGACACATGGTGTGGGGGCATACATATAGTTTAGGGTTGGGGTGGAGCCTAAGGGGCATTAGTGATCCACAGGTAGCCCATTGAAATTCACTTAATTGCCTAGGGGCGGGGAAGGTGACTTGCACCTCCCAGCACTAGAGAACCTCCTTTAGGGCAAAATCGTTTCAAACATAAGCAATATATTGAAGCCAATTTAGAACAAATAGAAATGAGGTAAAGAACCTAAAAAAATTTACCTTTGTGATTTTGAACAAAATCCTGTTATCAATCTCTGAACCACATTTTAAAAAATATTATTTTTTGAAAGAAGTGATTATATATTTTTCTTTAAAAAGTGGTATGTTTTTAATATTATTGAAATAAAGTAGGTCTTTTAAAGGATAGAATTGAAATCAAAATGCTGTCAACATTATCAAAAGAAAAATTACATAAATACTGAATTTACATAACAAGATTAAATTCTTCACAGCAGATGCAGAAGAAAAAGAAATTTGTAAAATAAAAGATGAGCTTGGAAATCCATACAGAGAGGTAAAAATAGAACAATAGAAACTACAACTTTCTTATAAAGGAAATTAAATACTGGAATAATGCCGACATGAAAATAGAAGCACTATTATCTGGATAATCTAAATATTTATCTATGTGACACAATCTTTGAAGAAAAGATATCAGAAAATGAGTGCTAACCAATTATTTGTTAACCTGTCTCTATTAATGCAGCCTCACTTAACCAGTGATGTTTTAAATGATCAAATTATTATTTATCAATGTTTTATCAAATATTGGTTAGAATTCCATAGATGGTACTATAGATTATATGATTACTCTCAAGAAAAGAAACAATTATAGTGCAATATTTTCAAGGTAAAATTATATCTGGTCAAAAACTTCAATAAAAGTTGGGGAATGATACAGCATAGAAGTTGGAGAATAGATGACCTACTTGTGTTAAAATACTATCTCTGCCATTGGGTAGTTATATAACTAGGAAAAAATTCCTACATTTCAGGCATTTCTGTACTATAATCTACATAATAGAGATTAAAGATTTGATGGGATGTATTTCACAAGATTATTGTAAAAAACAATCAAGAAAATAGTTTAAAACTCCTAAAAAATAATTAAGTTAAAATTTTTATAATTATGATTTTGTTTAAATTGAAGAGTTAAAACATTCAGGAAACCCCTCTTGCCTTGTCACTCGGTCAGAACAACCAGATGTTCTGACCTGATAGGGAAGTTGTGATCCAACGTCCCCAAAAATAAGAGCACCATAAACTATCGACCCTGCCAGACAGGATATGAGTTTTCAAAAACATCAAGCCACCTGCAGCAGATGGCTCACCCACCAGTAAGCAAATGACACGACCCCTATTAACCAGTGCCATCTACTTCTGTAACCGAGGCTTGCTTTGCGGGTTTCGGCTTTATATACCCTGCACTTCCCTACTCGGCTCTCTCCCGCTCCCCTCTCCCACCGGAGGGTCCCTCACATGTGGGGACAATAAAAACCCCTTGATTTTTCATGAGAGCTGGATCCTTGGGGCCTTCTTCGCGACGGTGATCTTACAAAATTTGAAGGCTTTCTAATAAAATTACGGAACTTCCCAGGGCTTTTTTAGGATGCAATTTCTTAAAGTATCTTATAATTTTACTCAAGTACTCCTGATTCTCATCTTTTTGCAGCAAAAGGGAGTCAATTATAAGAAAGAAAACATCATGAGCAGTGTGCTCATGTGTCCCTGTAATTTCCACAGTGTATCACATTCTGACAAAATAGAGGTCAAGGTATTTTTCTGAATGAATAAGCAATGTAAAAAGACAACTGTTCATGAGCCTTTAATATTTGTCTTTAGGATTCAAATAACATGAGTGAACATCTCTATAGTAAAATTTCAGTCTGTAAAAAATTATGTTTTCAAAAAGCACAATAATTGATTTCACTTCTTAAAATACCCTGTAATATTATTTTTGAGCATAATTTTACCACATAAATATTCTACAGGCCTAGAACCAGTTAAGAATTCATTGACTGGGATGAAATCATGTACCTTATAGCAGCAGAACCTCCTACATATTCTTGATGAAGATTCTTCTCGTGTCAGGGGTAAGGTCATGGAGAATGAACAGCTAGAATTCTTTCATATTAAATTTCTAAATGTTCAAGACTATTAAACTGTTATCCAATCTTCATTAATTTAGGTTGCACTTTTTAGCCATATCCTAAGTTTTCAACAAATATTTCACAAGAAAACTAGATATTTCAGTAAAAGGTAAACGGTACAGGATTTAATATATACATCATCACAAGAAATTAAGCACAATGCTCTATCAGTATATAAAGATAAGTATTTATGTTGGCTTGGTTACTTTTCTCTCATTGTTGAGACAAAATACCTGATGCCCAAAATGAAGGAAGGAAAGGTTTATTTAGCTTATAGTTTGTGAAGGTTTTAATCCGTACCCAGTGGCTCCAAGGTAGGGTGGCATAGCTGAGGGACAACCATTCATGGTGGCTATGGCAGATAGTGGCAAGAGCAAAGGGGCTCTTATTTTGTATGCAGATTACCCACCCCAGGATGGGTACAGCACTAACACTGCCAATCCTAGCACTACACAATACAACAATCACAAAAACTAGATTCAGTCACTTATGAAAACTCTGCCTTCATGAATGTATGAGGCTTTGGGGGTACATCCAGAAATAAACCATAGCATTACACTCCTGGGCCCCAAAGACTAATGCACATTCTTTATACAGAAGACATTTAGTCCATCTTCAAGAGTTGTCCAAATCCTAATAGTCTCAGAATTGCTGAAAAGTCCAAGTTCCAAGTCTTCTTTGAGATCTAAGGCAACTCTTAGCTGTAACCCACTGTATAAATAAAAAAAAGATAAACACTTCCAGTGTTCAATGGCACAAGATAAACATTACCATTTCAAAGGGTACAAACTGGGGGATACAAAGGAATGGGATCAAAGGAAGTCCAAAATCTATCAGAGCAAACATTAAGTGCTGGGGTTGCACATTCAGCATCTGAAGCAATCTGGTTATGAGTTCCAAAAGGCTTGAATGACTCCACTTCATGGCACTTCTGGTGGTTGAAGCTCCTATGGTTTCTCTCTTGAACTGGCTCCCTCCTTGTAGGTTTCCTGAGAAATCCACATTCCTGGCTTTTTGAAATTTCTGAGTTCTCCACTGCACCTCTGGCTTCACATTCATGGCTTACCACATTGCCTGCTCGGGGTCACACTGCCTGGCATCCCAGGTCTTCTCAGACTGGGGCAGAAGCCTTTTTAACTTCAGAACTCTTGCATTCTCTATGTGCCTAAAATCAGTGTCACATGGATGCTGCCAAAATTTGTTGCCAGCTGGAGCGGTAGCCAGGCTTTCTTCTCTATTGGCTGTAGGGGTTGAGTGTTTGAATTGCTAAGAACTCTTCATCCAATGACAAGGAACACATTCTCTATACTGTTCCAATTCTTAACATGGTGTGGCTGCCACCATTTTGCAAACTCTTGTGACCTCCACCACCATTTTGGAATACAAGTTCTGCGGCTTTCTCCTCAAAGCAGTTTTTCATTTTTGCTGTTTTGAGGCTGTAAAGAATGGAGAGCCATCACTTCCCTTAATGCCCCAAGGCCATCTTTTATATTCTCTTGTTCCTTCTCAGCAATTAATATCTCAATTCTATATTTACAGTCCACAGTTTCACTGAAAACTCTTTTCTGACCAAGCTCACAACATTTTAAATCATCCTTCTGGGTTCTTTGCTCTTGACTTACAACATAAATCTGGGTAAAAGATCCCAAAAATAGTCATGCCACTTCCTTACTATTAGACTGCCTTGAAATTTCTTCTGCCAGAATAGTCCATTGCCTTTAATCTCTGTATCAGGAAAAGTCTGTGGATACTAGCAAAATGCAGATAAACTTTCTGCCAAGCCATAACACACATCGTCTGGAATTCAACGATGAATGCAGTTCTTATTCCCATCAGAAACCTCCCAAACCTGATCTTTACTGGCAGGGTTCCTATCAGCCTTCTGGTCTTGTGAACTCTGATTGCTATCTCCCATACAAAAAACATTCTAAGGTATTCCAGCACCACTCTTTCAGATGATATTTGCAAACCTTTCCAAATGGCTTTATAACAAGCCATTTCAAAATGCTCTTGAACCACATGGTCAGGTATAGTCACAACAATGACTCCACTCCTGGTACCAAATTATATCTTGGTTACTTTTCTCTTGTTGCTGAAACAAAATACCTGACACCCAAAATGAAGGAAGAAGAGATTTAGCTTACAGTCTGTGGAGCTTTCAGTTGGCTCCAAAGCAGGGTGGCATTGTCGAGGGACAACCATTCACAGTGATTGTGGCAGACAACAACAAGAGCAAAACAGAGGGGCAAGCCTCTCTCCCTCTCTTATATTGTATGCAGGCTACCCATACAGGATGGCTGCAGAACTCAAATTGCCAGACACAGTACTATAAAATGAACCAATCACAAATGCTAGATTCAGCCACCTTTGAAAGGCCCCTCCCGCATGACCACATGAGGCTTGCTGGAATATCCAGACATAAACTATAATGCAAACTATGCTTACACTGATGTTGAAAGGGGCTGAGCTGTCTGAGAAAGCACATATTTATTGAATATTCCCAGCCAACTTGGCTACCTATGCTGCACAGGAAGAAGACCGGAAATGTGGTACAGTATTTGTAAGGATCATATTCTTTCTGTCTAGAGATAAATAGCTTTAAATTCATGAAATTAAGCTTCGAGTAATTGATGAAGAAAAAATGCCTATATAAAGGATCTGGGTTCTTATAATGATTCTCAAAATTTGAATGTCTTTTTATATAATTCTACACATTTATTTTTATCATGTGAATAAAACATCATAATCCTTTTAGTTGCATTTCTTCCACTCTCTCTCCCTTTATCTCTTGATTCTCTTGCCATTTCCAAAAGATCTGTGTCCCTGTATTCTTTATCTATTTTTAATTTTGCTCTTTAAATTAAAACTTTGGGTTTCCCATATAAGAGAAACCATGTGATATTTAACTTGTGTTTCTAATTTATTTTACTAAATATTACAGTCTCAAAGTGCATTTATTTTCTTACATAGGCATCAAATTTATCATTCTTCGTGTCATATTAGTACTCCATTGTGTATAAATACCATATTTTCTCTATTCATCTGTTGATGGCCACATAAGCACATTTCAATACATAACTATTACGAATTGTGCTGCTATAAATATGGTGAGGTATCACTATAATATGATAACTTTATCTGTTTCCGGAAAACATTTAACAGTTAAGCTTCATCTTACAAACAAACTTCTCTTGTTTTCTTGATAATAAAAAAGTAAAATTGATACCAAATGCCTTGGTACCTAATTATTTTCAGTTTTAATATCTGGATCTATCTACTACTTGAAATTTCCTATAACTATTAGATGTACACTGACTTTAACTTCCTAATATCATTGTAATTTATAAGAATTGCAATAGTGCCAGACACATTATTTAGAATTATATAAATCTATTACCTATCATAAGCTTCAATTGTATAATGTATTTTCAAAAGACTGCCCTTAAATCATATTTGAGATATTTTATTACAGTCTCCAAGCATATATTTGCAAACTCAAGGAAGAGTTATAGGGAATACAGGAAAATTATCATTCAAACTAAATGTTCCTAGAAAAATGGTTCCTAGAAAGACGGTCTAACTAGATGAAGTTAGGGCTTTGTAACATTGCAAATTCCTTATAGAAAAGGCCATATGGAGTGTTAAGTGATGTGCATTCATATAATATATTAAATGGGGAGAAAGAAGTAATGAAGATTTTGAGTGGAAGAAATAACTTAGTATGAAAGAAGTAAAGTAACAAAACTTCTTCACATGACTGCTTGAATAACAAACCTGTATATAGGATTGAATGCCTAAATATACTTCTGCTTTCCGCCACTGTGCACCTTGCTGTCCAATTTGGGTCCACACTTTAGAAGTAATGTTGTCTTTTTTTATGAGTACCTGCAGAGATAAATCAAGTAGTAGATGTTGAAATATTTTCTCTTCACAATTTTTTAGATGTAGAATTTTACCAGTGATTCTTAAATTTTTAATATCTACATAAAGTCTCTGAGAGAAAAGATGAGGTATTTTTCATTTGGTGTCTTTGTTTTCTATTACAAAAATACAGCATCAGGGGCCTCACAAGCTTCCCATAATTCAGGTGTAAACGAACAACTGTCAATCAAGTCATACGGAATCAGGACACAGTTTTATTAAGAATGCAACTATTTTAGCTTTATAAAAATATGGTAGTAGTAACACTTAACTCTACTGATAAGATTCTGGCATGATAGAGATACAAAGAAAGGAAAAAAGAGGCCTTTATTGCGGGCACAGGAGGGCTGCAGAAGAGATGCCATTATCCTTGGGTGAGAACAAAGAAGTGAAAATAATTTTATGATGTATGGCTCAGGGAGGAGTTTGGGAGATGGGAAAAATGACAGACACATCAACAGCTAATTTGAAGAATCGTCTACGTGCACAAAATAGGAAACAGAAATATTTACCAGGGGTTGGGGTGTAGAGCTTTGTGGAGGTTTGGAAGTGGAGAGGGTTTGGCACATGCACTAAAAGGGAGAGGGAGGCTTTTACTGGAACTAGAATAAGAATACTTTCAGAGAGATAAATTATTTCTCAGGGCAGAGCCAAGTTGGGAGGATGTCATGTTAGAGACAGATAAGCCCCAGACTGGCAGAACCTATCAATTATATATATTAAATAATATACATGAGATTGAATTTAAAGCATGAAATTACTCACTAAAATACTATCTTGAGAATGACTTTTCTTGATGGATTGGTTTTAATGGAGCAGTGGTGATGTAGAGTAAACTCACTCAATTGTAACAGTGGATATGGATTCTATAAGGGGTACCCACTCATGGTGTTAGACCTCCAACCCAACAGCCTTAAAACCAACAAATCTTAACCAGCTTTCTGTATGGTTAGGACACTTAGAAGTAGCCCTTGAAGTTCCATTTGGTAAAGACTTACAACCAAGAATGGCTCCATTGGGAGGTAGTGAAACCTTTAAAATGTGGGGTTTAATGGAAGTCTTTTAGGTCACTGGGTTCATGATCTTAAAGAGGACTGGGGAACCTGTCCCCATCCTCTATCTTTACCTCCCAACTATGAGAAGAGCAGTTTCACTCTGGGCAACCCTTCTGCCATAATGTGCTACCTCATCTTAGATCAAAAACCAATGGGGCCAAACCATCATGAACCAGCAAAACCAGGAGGTAAAGTAAATCATTTCTCTTTATAAATTGATTGTTCCAAATATTTATTATCATGATAAAAAGCTTCCAAAGTATTAAAAATCTACAGGAGAATTTGTAATAGTCTATTTGAATACATTATCATGGCTGCTCTTTTGGAATGACACAAAACAAGTCATCAAGAGGATGACTCTAAGGAAGAGTAGAATAGTTTTATATGTTGGAATAATTTTCAAAGATAGCCTATTTATTAGACAATATTGCTTTTCAAAAAGTATACGCTATAAAATCAAAGGGTTCTTCAAATATGCTTGGTAAAAATTTTTAATTATATCATTACATTTTTAAAATTTAAGTTTTGGGATTTTATATGACTATAGTTCCTGAGTAATATGCTACTAGAACAATAGTATGAAATTCTTGGTCTATGAAATTCAAACACTTAGTACACTACCAAGGTCAAGAAAATATAATTTTCTACAAAGAAAATAAAATATTTGAGAATACTGAAAATAATGTACAAAAAAAGAACATCTTTGTATGAATACCACATTAGCACAAACTGACAACTGTGTGTTCAATAAACATATTAATAATTTTAATGCTATTTAATTCAACCATGCAGAGAAATAAATATTATACATAACATTTTAACTATTAAATGATTAGCTGCTTACAAAATTTTATTTTTTGGAATATTTATTCACTAATACAGAACATTTTTCTCAAAAAAATAAAGTGTGTTTAGAACACAATGTCAAACACAAATTACAGTAGATAAATATCTCCCATTTTACTAATAAAAACCCTGTAGTGCACTATGTTGATTATTTTGCCTAAAACTACTATTGAACACTCAAAGCAGAACAAAAAGTAAATTATAATATCCATACCAAGAGACTCTTTGGCCACTTTTAGTATATTAGTACACAAATATACTTTGAAACTGACATTGGTAAGAAGTCTCATAACGAGGAAAGTTCTTCCAAAACTGATGTCTAACATCTTGATTTTAAAAAAGACACTACTAACAACATTTTTGAAATACATTTATCTAAAATTTGTTTAGAAATAGTAATATTTCATAGTTTCCACTAAAATTCTAAAACAAAATGATAATACAATGGGAGGGAGAAATTATCAATAATAAAATTGTAATAAAGCTGTAGGTAAATTAGTGGGTAATCATCTAGCCTCCATTCCAGTCCACTTCCTCTCTTTAATGGGAAAGAGAAGGCAGATGACAAAATTATAATACTGTCACAAATCTACTAAACACAGACTATTTTGTTTGCAAAACAAATTAATGGCATTTGAGAGAAAATCTTTACAGCTTGCTTCTACTAGATATAGTTAGTATACTAAACCATTCTTAGTAGACAATTTTGAAATTTGTGGATTTATAGAGCTACCTGTAAAACAACACATACTATGAAAATATATGAATAGAGATGCTGCATTGAGTGGGCTTCCTCTGTGTAAGCAATGTGTCTCTGTACATTTCTAACAAAACCCATGTACTATTTTCTATCCCTTTAGTAGAGGAAGACAGGATATAGAGTCTAGGTTAATATTCTAGAATCTCTCTCTCTCTGATTTGATTGTCTATTTAAGGCTTCAAAAATAAGTAAGAAATTCAGAGATAAGGCAGGATAAAAATGAGCTTAGAACATCTTAGCCAGAAAGGAAGAAAATGCTAAAGAATGACACGTAGAAATCAGTTCAGGATTCTTGCAAACAAATTTGAGGAGATTTGAGACTAAGTAATAATAGATTATAAAACACTGAATAAAATAGGGACTCGGGGATCCATTCCAGTACAATATAATAAGTAAACAAATGTATACAGAGATCAGGACGGAAAAAGGAAGGAAGGAAAAGGCACAAATAATAGAAGAAAATGGAAACAAAGCTTCTGTAAATAAGGAAAGGAAGAGGGATTAAAGGGAGGGGAGAGGATTGTAGATAAAAGAAGAATCAAGATATATCATGTACAGGTACAAATTCTTCTGAAGAATGTGATCATTATGTATATCTAAAATATACCAAATTTTAATCAAAAATTTTAAAAAGTAATGTCAAAACATAAACATATATTAAAAACAATGTTAGAAAAATCACAATTAAGCAATCATCGCAGTAATTTAATTCAGGTAAAGACAATAATGATGCTCAAAACTGGTGACTAATATCACATTAACACCAGGGTTTTTAAACTATCTTAAATATCTCTTTAATAAATGTTTATTGATAAAGAAAAATAATACTACTGACAGATGTCATGGATTAATCAGATATAATAGAAAAGAACATAATATTGGTGATGTTAGTATAAAAATGTATTGAGCACATGTGTCTTGAGGGACATTTTACAAAATAACAGTGATAAGCTTTTAAAATATCAAGGTGATAAGAAGTCTAAGGAACAGTAAAGAATTATTCATTTGAAAGGAACTGCAATAAAACCCCCTGATGCAATGTATGATATTTTTTGCAGTAAGATACATTACTGAGATGATTGTTTAAAAATAGTATCCCTGAGTACAGAGTATATTGGTTGGCATTTTCTTCACTATTCATGTAGTGCTTTGGGGATTTAAAACAGTTTATGACTTCTTTTCCTGCAATAAGGAATCTGAAAAAAAAACTACTGAAAAATATAGTAGTAGTAGAATCAATGATATGACATACATGCAAATATCATCAAAGTACATATATTCATTAAATGGGATTACTTTCAGCACATAGATACTGAAACTTACATGATAAGTTTCAAGTGTAAAATAACATTACACAACAATTATAAATCAAACTGGACATTAAGGCAAAATTAGGAACAGAAACTATCTACATGCAACTAATGTGAAATTTTACTAAAGCTTTCTCTCAATTATATCGTTATGAAATTGAGTGGAGTGATAGTAATTGTCCATTTTCATTTTTTAAGAAACTATACTTTAATGACACTAAACTAGGAAGTTTTCACTTTCATGCAGAAAATTCAGAAATTACCTGGAGCGAACCAACTGTGGCACCATTCATGTAAGTCCAGAAGACCAACGTACATTTTGGCCCCGTGAGAGAAATAACAGGGGTGACAAGGTCAGCGATGTCACCAAATTTCCCAATTGAACTATCAGCATACAGATACCAGCCATCTGTGGTATTTCTGGGGAAAGAATGTATCATGTAAAAGAAGAAAACCAAGAGATGTAACCTAGTTGATCACTGATCATATTTGATCACTATAATTTTTCCTAAAAGTACAATGTTCTGTAGCAGAATTATGGTCTATAGCCTCCATAAAATATAATTTATCTGTCATTTTGACTTTTAATTCATGGTCCCTGTAGCAGTATCCATTGGCACGACATGAACAAATTGTAGTACAGGTTAAACGATCAACTCTATAATGATATGGCTGATCCTTTCTTTTGAACAATGACATCATAAATATTCTGATGAGTTTTTAGAGACTGTTTACTTGTGGATAAAAAAAGCACTAAGTATTTCTAGAAGTGGCACAGGAAGGAGAAAAGAATAGAAATAAACAGAAATAAACAGAAACAAAACTACTTCATGTCACAGATCTAAAAGGCTTTAAGTTTAAATTTATTATATGTTAGTTTAGTTTAGTTTAGTTTAGTTTCACTTAACATATTTTAACAGCCTGGTAGATAATATTAAGGTGTGTCTTTTCTTCCCTAGTTCCAAATTATAAAAAAAAAATGAAGATGGAAACAATTAAATGTCTATGTAATTTTACCATAAAAGAACCTCCGTTATCCATTCAAAACAGAGATAATTAACCATTAGAAGTATGCGAGGTTATAAACAGCCTGTGAAATGTTAAAAGAAGTAATTCTTCACCTTTTGAGGGTGGCACAAAGAGTCTAACTTGATTTCTTGCCACTTTTTAACCTCCGTACAGTTACTAGTTCTTACAGAGTTTAATCTAGCTATGCACCATTTTGTTTTGAAATTTCTCTGCAGTATTTTTTGAGAAAAGAAATACAAATTATTAACAGTAAATAGAAAAGAAAAAATGTATTCATGCAGGCATCATATATGTATTGAATGTCAGCTTGCCAGACTTGCCAGAGGCTTTGCATGGCTCTAGGAATATAACTGTCAGCAAGAGTGGACAAGTTTGGCTTCTGGCCTTTTTGCTTACTGGTTGGACAACTGTTGGCAGAGTATTTGACTTCTCTGCAAGTATCAGTTTGTACATTTTATAAAACAGATGGTTCTTACATGGTCTTAATAAGAATTAGGATTAAAATATGTGGAACACTTAACACAGTACCTAGCCCATTTCAGGTTATTGGTAGCTGTAAGTCACCTTAATGTTTATGTCACCAGTTGCCACTAATGAAATAAAGAATTTAGTGTGCTTCAAACCAAAGGGCAACAGTTAAGATAATTTTGAAGAGGCAGAATATTAATTTGTCAAAATTATTATTTCTAAAAGCAGTCTCACCTCTTTTACTTGTATGAACGTTTAATATCACAATGTCCTAGGGATATCAAGATCAAAAGTATGTAGACATATCCATTCAGATACATACGAGCAATAATGAGGAAAAATTTGGAAATTTCTCTATGTGTATGATGTATTTAATGTGCAATACTTCAAGTAACTGTTGAGATTTTGTTGTAATCTGTTATAATTTTATAACATTTGATCATTAGTACTTTAGATTTTAGTTTTGACATGCAGCTCAAATTCTCCACCCACACACTCTAATTGCTCCATTTAAAGCTAAATTTGTGCTGTAGCTTTCCTATAATAATCAGCCTAGTAGTTTTTCTACTTCTCAACTCGTTTTTTGTCATGCAAAATTGTTTTTTAAAAATGAAAATGTGTACTATGACTCCCAAATCTATTTCTTAAAATTTGTTAATGTTTTAAACTTGTGAATTTAAGGTGCAATAATATTTATTATGCCAACCTTTTTGAATTTTATTGTACAAGTTTTCAGTACGTGCATTCTACAATCAAATTGTGGACTTGGCACATGTATGTACTACAGCTCTTCTGCTCTTGTTTTTTCCATCCCCTTCCCTCCTCATACTCTCCCACCTCCTATAGTTTGTTTTGGTCCTTTTGTTAATCTTAGTTCATGTTTATCACATGTAAGGTTCACGTTCATGGAGGCTATTAGGACCTTTTACTTGGCATATATTCACTCTACCCATCTCCCCATTCCCTGCCCTCAATCATTCCCTTAACATTTTCCTGTCTCCAAGAGTCCTATGCCCTTGTCTCAGTCTATTTCCCAAGTTTTCTCTTAGTTTGTGCTTTGTCTTACTCAGGCTACAGATAGCATATAATATTTAAGTCTGTGCATCAAGATATATTTCACTCAACATTACATTTTCTAGGAACATCCATTTTTCTACAAATGTCTTAAATTTGTTCTTTATTGCCATTTAGTATTCAATTATATGTAGATTCCACAATTTCTTTATTGAATCATCTGTTGATGGATGTACAGGATTTGGTTATTATGAGTTACACTGCTATAAACACTGGTATACATGTATCACTTTAATATGATGCTTTAACTTCTTCCAGGAAGATATCTGGAAGGGAGAAGATAGGTCACATGGAATTTCTAATTTTAATCCTCGGAGAAATCTCCATCCTGATTTCCTTAATGGTTGTACTTACATTCCCGCCAACAATGAAGGAAAGCTCTTTTTCTACCATGCCTCACCAGAATTTATTTTTTTATTTCTTCATGATTGCCATTCTTTCTGGTGCAAGACGGATTCTTAGTGCTGTTTCAATTTCCATCTGTCTAATGGATACCGATATTGAACATTTTTTCATACATTTGTCGGTATTTGTATTTCTTCCTCTTTGAAGTGTCAGTCCATTTCAGTTATTTATTTTTTGACCGGATCTCTAATTTTGGCTCAATTTTTAAAATTATTTACATATTCTGCATATTAATCCTCTATCTGAAGAGGAGCTGGCAAACTTTTTCCCACTCTATATGTTGTCACTTCATTGTATTTTTGTCTCTTTTTCTGTACAGTTTTTTAGTCTGATATAATCCCATTTGCTGATGGTTGCTGTTATTTCTCGTGCAATTGAGGTTCTGTTTAAAAAATCTGTCTTACACCCATGTCTTCAAGTGTTTTATCTAGTTTATCTTCCAGAAAGTTTATTGTTCCTGTTTTATTGTTTAGATTGATGGTGCATCCTTTGCACACTGGTAATCAGTTTTCCACAAACCACTTGTTGAATATCTTTCTACCAATGTATACTTTTGGCTCCCTTGTCAAAAATCAAATAATTGAATATGTCTAGAGAGCTTCTTTGTACCCTATATTCAGTTTTAATGATCCACGAACCTGTTTTTTCCTAGTGCCATGCCACTCTTACCATTATTGCTTTGTAGTACAGCTTGAAGTCTGGTAGTTTAAGATCTCCAGATTTACTTTTACTGCCAAAAATTGCTTTTGGTATTCTGTGTCTCTTCTAGTTTCATCTAAGTGTTAAGATTTTTTCTAATTATGGAAGGTACACTGTTTTGATTCTGTCTAAATGCATTTATATGCCATCCTAAACTCTCCATAGCTCTGGCTCTGCCTCTCTCTAGAAATGAGAGTTGGGAAGACTCTGTTCTTCTTCACGTTCATGCTGACACTATGATAACACTGGATATGAATATTAGGACTCAGCATTTTTAATAGAGCAACTCTTTCCAAATTTAGGAAGAGACACAATGAGGACTTCTGGGAAGACGTGGTGAGCAGCAAAGAAATAGCCTGATATTTGGAATGATGCTGGAATATAGCACTGTGAACAAGAATAAAAGGAAAGAAGCGTATTTCCAGGAACAAGCAAGGATGTGAAGAATTATCACCCACAGAGAGTAAACAGAGGAGCTACAATGTGGAGCAAGGAAGTGGCAAGCAGTGTTTTTCACTGATCTCTGTGTCACAGCATGGGAAGGTGACTTGAGCCTGCAGAAGCATGGTGAATAATGGCAGTTCCACAGGCTTTTATGGAAAAACACACCACTGGAATTAAGCAGTGGATGCTGCAGAGTGTAGAACCCAGTTCAGATGGCCACCAGAAAAGGGTGGCTGGCCAGTACCAGTTTTGCAAAGGAGCCGGTAAAAAGTCAGAACTCCAGACAGCTCTATCTAGTGGCTACCAGAGTCAGGGTGAAGCACAACCAAGTTCAAGCCAAAAGGACGTCAGGGAGCCCAGTTCAAGCTAACAGATAGCCATGTTCAAGTCAGCAGGAGTCATTCAAAGTATTGCAGCTAACAGCCTTGGTTTCCAGTCTTATAGCCAGAAACCAAAGCAGCCTGAATACCAGCAAAGCTGAAGACCCAGGTTTGCTGGAAGTATCCACCACCACCATAATTTTGCTGCTGGCTTGCTGAAATCTACCAACATAGATCTGGGGTCTGTGTGCCCTCTCCGTCAACCAGTGATAGCAGAGATATACTTTCAGATGGGTATTTTTATCTGCTTTTCTTCCTTTTTTTGATATTTAATATTTTTATTGTTTTATATATGTTTCTCTTTTTCTTCATTGTTTTTGTTTTTAACAAATGAGAACAGTATTGTGAGGGGTTTTTTGTTTGTTTGTAAGCTTTTGTTTGTATGTTTCTGTTTCATGCTTTTCCCCCTCTTGTCTTCTTCACCAGTTTCCCAAAGGTTGTGTAATTTTCTTTTATCCTCCAGACTTGTGTCTAACCTCTTCTTGTTTTATTTCTCTTTTTTCCTCCAGCCCCAATTAAATATTCTCTCATAATGTTAAAATCACCATATTGAGGGGATATTTACTGTAAACAATTTTCTAGTTTAAACTTGGTTATATAATTGCAAGTCCTGTTCATACAGATGGCAAATTAACACATAATACAACATACAGAGTATGTTTCATGCTATTATTATTATTAATGGTAATACTTTAGCCTGTGTGATGTAAGTGTTCTAATGAGTTGCTATTTCCTTTAGGCCTACACTAAGATTACCTGAGGATTACAACAATGCCATAGGCCAGTACCAGGGAACCAGAGTCTCGATCAAATAGCACCAACTTCTCATCTCTGATGAATTGAAGAGGTAGGATCTCACAACAGACTCAAAACTTAAAAGCCAGCTACACCTTGACGAAATCTCTAAGAAGTAGTCATTTC